AAAGCTACTGTGTGGTAAACTACGGCGGGAGGCACTATCCTCGACCACTCGAAGCTCTGCCAAACTGCTCTCGCCAGGTCGGTGGGGTAATCTGTCGCGACATAGGACTCCGCGCGGGCGAAACCATCGAACCTTGAAGACGACCTGAATATCCACCCGTGGATGACGCGCATTGCCACGTTCTCCGTTCGTCTCGCCCGTCTGAGAGCTGACTCTCGTTGCGAGCCATCTTCGATCCGCACGCGCGGGACTTCGGGGGGCGGCATCATGAGGCCTTGCGGAGCGCTGGCACCCGCATCTCCATTGACGATCGCGCAGAAGTACTCCGCGCAGGAATGCACCACGTCTGCGATCATCCGTCCAGGGCCGGTTGCCTAGAACGCTTTGCCGTCTACCTACAACTTCGATTTCGCCTCCAACTCCTCCTCTTGGTGGGACCTTTTCTTTCTCGCACTCAGAGGCTGGTCGTCCTCTTCTTCCTCGCGCGGAGTCTCCTCCCTCCTCTCCTGTTTTCTCCCCGCCTATTCCACCCTCCTATTTTCTCGCCTTTCTCCAACACCGACGACGGCGGCATGACCAGCGGCGCTCGCTGCTTGTGCGGATTGAAGCACATCCCTCGGTGAAGCGGCGACGATCGTCGGGTTCGATGCCTCCACGTGGCGCGATGGAGACTCACCTACCGGAGCTTTTCTGCCGCGCTCGGACACGGATGCGATGGTGGATGCAGAACCCACGACCCTCTGCGGCGGAATGCCACCGGACGAAACTCCTTGCGCACGAGCCGTCCCGCCACCGCCACCGCTCGTGGATGTCAGGACGCCAAGGTTGGTGAGCGCAAGCATGCGCTGCCTGCTCATACTGTCACGCCCGAACTCGAGCACAGGCATCGCTTTAGAAGTGATGTCCATAGGCGTCTCCTCCTCTCACCCGTCACCCCCCATCTCTCCTTCCGACCCGTCTCCCACGCGGAGCTTCTTCGACTTTGGGATGTGGCCCCTTCCTGTTTGCCCTGCACTTGCTTCGCCGGAACCACCATGTGGACATTTCGCCTTCTGCTGGCCACGTGGCGCCATTCGCTGACGGTCGGATGCGCACGCCCAGTGAACGAAAACGGACTACCGCAGCGCACGAGAGGAAGTCGCCAGAGATCGTCTTGCGCGGGCGATGTTCAGTTCCCCGCGCAGCATAACGGGAACCCCACGCGTGGCCTTGCGCGCAGTCGACAAGCAAAAGACTGCGAGAAGATAGCGCTCGCGCGGACCTTTATAGTGCTCGCGGTGACATTTCCCCTCCCTCGGCGTGCAGATCCCGCCCGGACGGCCTCCAGCACACCCCTCCACGCGACGACAGCGACGATCACCCATTCCGCATGGGGGGAGACCACCCCAAATACCCAGGGACAACGCGGTCCGGGGAATGGACGGCCCTGCCCTGGAGATCCAGCGACTCAACATTTCGAAGCGCGCGAGGGTACACGGCCATCGCGCACACCATCCCCCGCCTTGTTTCCTAGATTTATGTCGTCGTTCGGAGGACCGACACCACATTTCGCGACGGGCCAGATTGCGGGCGAATCCACTTCAACGGCTTGACAAACCTCAAGTCAAGATCTATCCCTTATCGCTCTGGCAATCTCCATCAACATCGTGCACATCATCTTGTTCGCCTCAGCGGACGCCGTGTAATGCCTCTCCAGTATGTCACACTGGCGCTTCTGGGCTTCAACCTCCCGGTCGAGGATGTCACACTGCCGCTCCAGGATGCTACACTGTCGTTTGCTCGCACCCTCTACCGTGTCCGCCATCAATGAACCGTGTTTGTCCATGACTTCGGTGATGGCGTCGAAGGTCTGCTGCCGCATGTTCTTCCTCTTCGCTGGAGTGCCCGTGCTCCCTGCACTGAACCCCGTCTCCCGCGCTGAACCCACATCTTTGTCAACGCCATCACCCCCCTCTCCACCAGCAGAGGACTCTCCACCAACGGCCGCCTGGCGGTGACCATCCATTGCTGGCAGCACTCCTCCGCGTGCGCTCGTGTCTGCCACGTTGTCCGGGTAGATGGTCTTGTTATTTTTTGACATGTTGTCGATCTCATTGAAGACTCGCTCATCCATTCAGAAGTTGAAACCCTCGTCCGCTCTCGTTGCAGGAGTTAATGTGAAGAAGTTCTTCCCGCCGGACATGTTCTGGTAATGCTGCACCTTCTTGTACTGCTGGAAGACGTTGTCCCACTTCTTCCCTATGTCGTCCGTTGTCCTGTCCACTCCGACCTCCGCCAGCCGCTTCTGCAGGTCTAGCAGCTTCCACTCCCTGTTGCGCATGTGGTCGTAGTTGTGTGGCATTCCCTCGAAATGAGCTTGCTGATCCCGCTTCGCTCAAGCGAGCTTCAGCATCTCCTCCACACTCCAAGCTCGGTGCTTGCCACCCTTGTCGCCCACAGGAGCCCTCGATCCTCGGCCACCACGCGACTTGCCCTTCTGCTGACGTCCTCGTCCTCGTCCTCCCCTCCGTCCACCACGCGCAGCCACGGGTCGGATCTCCAACCCCTCACCGTCTTCTGCGTCCTCTTCGTAACGAGAATCCGGAGACTCGTCCCCACTCGCTCGACGGCTGTCATCCGCATCCACGTCGCTCCCCACACGAAGCCTGGACACACCAGTGGTTATGTTCTCCGTGGCAGCACGCCGCATCTGTAGGCGGCAGTTCTCCCACGCCTGCCTGCCAATGTCTTCCGGTGGAGTCCCATCATTGATTGCAGCACTTGCGGTCGCCCTTTGCCACATTGTAGGCGAAGACACGGACGGGCGGATGGGTGTCACTGCCCTTGACGACTCGCCAAGTGGCCCGGCGCCCATGGAACTCGGGACCGAAGGACGGCACCCATTCGTTGGCCCACCGACATGGGACGATCCTCCTCCCAACGTTGGCGATCCCACCACCCCTCCGCCGTGGATCGGACCACTTGCACCACTCCCGCTGCACAATCCGAAATCCAAGTCCACAAGCTCCGTGGCGGCGTTGTCGACACCCTCCTCCAGCAATGCGGTGAACGACTCGCGCATGGTCCCTGCTTCCCTGTGCTGGCACTGCCTGCTCGTCCACTCCTGCGTAGATCCACTCCCCAGAGGAAGTGTGTGCGACACATCCTCAACCCAGGCGTCCTCCGGATCCGGCAGTAGCGGCTGTTCGTGCGGTGGAAGATGACTGTACAAGGACGGGTCGTATGCGGCGGGTCGATGGCYGGACCGGGGCCGATCAGGAATGGAGAAATCCATCACACGTCTCTGCTGTCCGACGGAGCTGTCCCGCCTGTCCATCGTCGTCTTCCTATCCACTTGTCGTCTCTGTCTACACCCAGGAGGCCGCGTCACGATGAAGGCGCGCAAAAAGACGAGAAGAAGCAGCAGAAGAGATGCTAGTAACATGAGCGGTAGCCGCCGGAAGATGTCTGCCATGAAACGCACCACGTGCAGATGACCACCCGAACGGACAACCCTCACGCGCGCACGTGAATGGCAACAAACGGGGCGGCCGGCGACAACATCACACCCCGCACATAAAACACATTTCGAAATATTCAACCGTTGGACACGACGCCCGACGAAGTGCAGAAGGAGAACCCCGCCGCTCCGATGTCTGTTGCACCCGAAGCGGGACCCCCGGCTGTGTACGCGCGAACGGTAACACCAAAAGGCCGTTGGTGATCTCCCGCCGGTAGCAACCCGATATTGTCTGCCCGATGGACCACGGACGCCATGTGCACCAGCAAAAATCGAAACTTCCTGTCCCGACGCACGCTCGACGACGGCCCGTCTATCGCGGATCCTTTAGCCCAAGGGACCTCTCGAGGACCCCTTGAATCCAAGGACGCAATGGCTGGGGATTCTGAGGGACCCAAGGAAATCTCTTGGGAGCGTTTTCACATTTTTTCAAGGATTTTTGTTTTTTAGGACGCGGTGTAACCATAACTTTGGAAATTCCTGAGGATTTTCAAGGAGGGTCTAACGAGGCCCTAAGTGCAGCGAAGGCGGCTATTTCGAGAGTCTCGCCTCTCTGACAATGCTAGACGAACTCTCGAAATATTTTGAGAGTCTAGAGTAGTGCAGCGAGGCCCCTAGTAGTGGCGGACTGAGTTGCATTTTGCCCATTTGGAGAGTAGTGGAACCAGGCCCATGTTACGACCAGAACACATGAAAGTTCACCGCAGGTTCCGACAAAGGAAACCAAAAAAAAAGAGGGAAAAAAAAAAAGGATCCCTACAGGTGTCATCTGTCCAGTGGCGGATGCTGGGAGATCATGCCAGTTTGCTGTAGTTTTCCTTCTTTTTTTTTGAATCCCCCCTTTTTTTCTTCAAACAAACAACCCGCTCCAATTCTCCAGCAACACGTTCCTTTTCCATTGGCAACGCTCTGAGGTAGGCTAGTAGGAATAGGGGTTGCGCTGGGAGAATGATGAGAGGGAGGATGGGTCGGGAGGCGGTCTCACAAATTGAACGATTGTCAGGACAACCAATGGCTGGCTGGTGCAGCAACCACCGTGTGTCTGTCACTGTCTGGTCCGTAGCCTCTACAACAACCTGGGCTTTCAAAAAAAAAAAAGAAAAAAAAAAAAAAAAAGGAGAAGAAGAAGCATGACAACTGG